ATATATATAATATTCTCAAGATTTATAAATGATATCGTATTCAATTAACCAATAAAATAGACAGTATAGATACATTGCAGTCTCATACTATCTAAAAAATTGAAATAGTTAAAATGTATATAATTAAGAGAAGAACATAAGATTGGATTATCCATCTCCTTTTCTAATCCAGAATCGTTTCTATTGATAACTAAAGTGTTTTTGCTAGTCAACTCCTTTTAAATCTTACACTGTGTCATCTTCCAACAATGAATTTTTGATATACATGAGTGTGGAAAATATCTAGTTAATATTTTTCGAGTTGTATTTATTGATCATAACGTAGACGTGACCATGTATTTTTCCCTCACTGGTGGTTGGTTGGCTATATGTAATGCTTAAGCTAATAGTAACATGTGAAACAATTCATACATGTTAAGATTTAAGTGGGAAAAACTTCCTAATTAAGAGTATAAATTCCTCTATAAGCCTATGTATTGTTTGTAATGATTTGGAAAGTTCATAGAGAGTTTTAGTTTTTGTCTTTATCTTTGTTCCAGACAGGAGGTCTTTTGTTCAAAATTGCACTTGAATTTTCCACGTTAATGAGAGTCTCGGTTTCATTGTCTCTTGCCTGAAAATAATAAAGACAGTGACGAAACACAGCGAAATTTTTAGTCCATGACCGACACAAAAAACACAAGAACATGAAAACTGACATAAAACAAACCTGTGACACTTGACCACCACCTTCAACTGGTTTTTGTTGACTCTCAAGAACACAACAGTAGGAATATATAATCATCCCAACCATAGCTACCATAATTCCCAATATGTTCCTCCAACTGAAAGGATCATGGACAATAATATATCCAAAAGCCAATACAAGACATGTCTTTAGATGTCCAAGAACCTGATAGGTCACTGGAGATGTCTTTCCAATTACAAGAAATGTACTAAAATTCACCGCGATAGAGATCAAACATGAAAGAATAATGACAATCTACAATGCAAAAAAGAAAAAATAAATAAAATTGAAAGGTCATTAATTAAGAAATAATTTATGTTTAAAACTAAGCACACATGTCGACTATTTAAATCTCACCGTCACTTTTGTCGTGTATTTGAATGAAAAAACATTTAAGTTTGTCAGAAGTTTATCCAAATATGGTCCGGAGATTAACAATGTAGCTGCTTGATATATACATGACTGGTACAGAAGTTGGGTAGAAGAAACCTTAAACTTCTTCTGTATGGTATTTGTCATCTGAAAGGGACTAATTAAGATTTCAACAAAGTACATCAACACTAAATTAATGTAACATCCAAAAAATAAAAAAGGACCAACCTTTTCTTAAGAACTCATATGAAATATATGTGTGTATGTTTTCTCATCGTTAGAATAGATTTATACATACAAAAAAAATATATATATATATAAATAGAAGTTGCATTAATCTAAAAGAAATCTATCTTCTCACATGATAAATGAAACATAGATTGACATGTTTATTTGTGATGTAATTATTGTCATTATTATGCAGAAACAATCATACACTTAATGATATATTTTATGTGGCATTGTTATGAAAATTAGTTTGAAAATACTAACAATTAATGCATGTAATCTACATCACAAAAAATATTCTTTAATTTGATTTTGAAAAGTATTATATTGCTTCAGAAATTGAGGAGTTAAGAGGAGTGAAAATTTCTTTAAGGATACAATCTGAGCAACACATGTTGTAATGATTGCTAGCAAAGACAAGAAAGCTCCCAAAGCATTAAGCTGAAAATCAGTAATTGTAGCAATTCCAACACCCACAAGGAGGATCACAAGAGAAAATTGTATTCTTTTACTGCAAAAATAAAACAATGAATACAATTCAAATCATTATCAATTATTAATTATTACAGTGGCATAAATAAAACAAATCCAGAGTAATGGATAAGGGTAATATCAATAATAATTAAGGACAAAATAACAAGCCAATGGAACTAATAGCCTTCAAATTTGTGAGATGCTAGAAAGGTCAACAAGAGGCCTAACATCTTGACAATCATATAAAAGACATGACTTGAAATTAATTATAAATCACTAATGAACTAGTTTCTTAAAAGTTAGCAAAGGAAGAAAGAACAACATTAAAAGATAGCTACACAAAATAATTATTTAATGAAACTTACACAAGTTACTATAAGAATAAATATTTAAAGAGATTAAAAGACTGAACAAGACCTGAACTTCTTTCCAAGAAAAAGGATCTCTAATAGAATAGTACATGGGATGATTGCCAGCTTAGTCATCTGAATGCAAATGCAAAGAGCTTGTGTCAAAAAACCTTGAAAAGATGCTTAAAGAACAAAAATCAAAACGACACATGAGAAAAACATAAAGAAAGAACATGCATCATCACCTGATAGAACCCGACAGAATTGAAGCCCAAACTCAAATTTAAAAGTCCAATAGAGATTCCATTTAGAATTCCAAATCCCATCACCATTTTCTTCTCTAATGGTTTGTGCTCAAAAAATCTCAATTTAAGAGCCACATGAAGAGAACAAAATGTTACAAATAGATGCCAACTTGTCAAAGTTGTAGCTGCATGAAAATCCAAGTATATGTATAAAAACCTTAACTAAGATATTTCACTTCTATCAAGTAATTTTCACTTGAATTGAAGGCATAAAAGATTATATATAGGTATCTAAACAACTAATTAGAACTTTTTTTATCCTTCAAAAATTATCACCTTTTTAGTGTCTTTTGGTTAAAGAATTTTCTATTTTCATTTCCTATTTTCACAATTATTACCCTATTTTTTACATAATTTTACATATATGTTCATGATTAGAGAAAATAATGATACATTTATTTAATTTGCAAATACTTTTATGGTTTCCTTTCTTGCTTTTTCACTCTTATTCACAAAAAATCATCTTGTTTTAAAGGGTTTGCATAGTTAAATAGAGAAAATAATGATAATTTAAAGGATTTGCATAGTTAAATAGAGAAAATAAAAGACAGAGAAAACACAAATCCTTTCACCTATTCCTGCATAAATATTAAAAATAATGTGATAGTTTTTAATTAGAAGTTAAAACAATATGTTTTCTCAAACTAAACAAGTAAGATATTGTTTTATTCATTTTTTTTCTCCATTAAAATTCTCCTTCAGAATTAATCCAATTTGAAACGAACACTAAATACAGACACATTTCTCAACAATACCTCAAATAACGGCTTGCCATGGTATCATCTTATTAAATTATGAAAAAAGTGAACGAGTCAGATGAGAACAAACTCATTGTAATTGTCACCAATAACATACACAGACAAATAATAGGTAATTTCTATATCAGTTTGCAAAGAACCAAATCCTTTATGAACTAACCGAAAATGAAACGCAATGAACTCATCAACGTTTTATTGCAAATCACAATCGACACCGATGACACCACTGACAAACTCAATGCGCCAATAGTTCCCAATTGAAATTTCTCTCCCTCGCCCATCTTTTCCTTTGTTGTTGCCCTAAACAAATCAAAACACAAAGGAACAAAATGAAGAAAAAATGTCCAAATATTGCAGATTTAATCAAAAAACGAAAATAACACAACACGTTGGAAAACTTTACACGAGGAAGATTTGATATTGGGAGTGAAACAAAATGGGTGTCAACGGATTGTGAGAAAAAGCTCTTGGATTTGATGATTGTGGAAAACCTACAATTCTGGGGTTATGGAAGTTTGCAGGAACGGATGAACTCAATGATTAGCACGCATGCAGAGGTAAAGCGTGGTGTAGTAAAATGGAACATGAATGAGAATGAAAACAAAAAGCGAATTGAATTGGAAAATCCGAAATGGAGGAAGGTGGCATTGATGGCACAGATGTAAGAGCTAAAATGCAAATTAGAAGGTGTTTCTTCTTCTTCTTGTTAGTTACATTTACGGAGAGAAGGAAAGAGTTAATTTTAGTGTCCAAAAGCTAATTAATAATAAACATTACATCGTGTTTGGAACTTTACTAAAATATTCTTGGTTTTATATTGCTTAGTTCTTATTTTTTACCTAAAAAATGGTGGATGGTGATGCACCTTTCTTGATGTTACCTTGTATCCATAAATAATTGTAATTTACACAAGTTTATTTATTTATTTTTGTAGTGTATAGCCATTCATTTACTAATGAACGTTCTCATAAAATAACTCTCATTGCACTTATTTTTTAAAATAATGTTAAGGGTACACATGAATAGATTTTTTATACAGTAAGATATATTTTTTTAATTATTATTGTGAATTACATTTAAGATCATTTATAACTGTTTGAGTAGAAAATGCTTTACACTTACATTGCAGTGAAATTAAGTTTGATTTTTCTAGTATTTGTATATGAAAAATGTATACTAGTAATAGTTAACTAGTAATTAATAATAAATTATTTTATAAAAGTAATTAGTACAAAATAAATGTATACTAGTAATAGTTAACTAGTAATTAATAATAAATTATTTTATAAAAGTAATTAGTACAAAATAAATTATAATATGGGAAGGTAATATGAGTTTAGGAATTTCTTAAATCTTAGGTCATTCTTTGTCACAATTTTCTCCCCGTCTCTTGTATCCTACGTTGCTTTCTCAACTCGCGCCTTGTTGAAAGCTTGCCGCCGTTAAAGACTCGTAGCCGTCAAAGGCTCGCCGCCGTCGAAGGCTCGTCGCCGTTGAAGACTCACCGAAGGCTTTTCCGCATTCTGTCGTCGCCGAACTGTCGGCTCTACCACCATCGTCGAAGGTTTGCCGTTGTCTCTCTAATTGCCGCTGTCGAAGACCCATTTATGCTGTTTCCTCGATGTTTGCTGTTGAAAAATTGGTTTTTGTTGTTGTGATTATAGGTTGTTTCTCCTTGTTTCCTTTGGCTCGTGGGTTAAGATTAAGGAACTCTTTGAAGATTAAGGTTCTAAATTGTGGTCGCAGAGTCTATTTTTGTTGAGTTCTTGGTATTGCAGCTACAATTGTGGTTGTGGACTGTTTTTTAAAAATCTTGTTCAAGGTTTAAAAGATCTACAGACTCTTTCAAGGTTTCAAAAATGATTTGCATCTGCAATTGTGCCACAATTTCAAGGCTTTTTGGGGTCTCCAGTTATAAATGGGGCCGCATTTGTTGTATTTATTTAGTTTTCGGTAATGTCATGGACTGTGTGACAAAAAATAAAAGCATTTGTTGTATTTATTTAGAACCTTGGACTTATGGTTTAGTTTCAAGTGAGGAGAGGAACTGGAAAAAAATAAAAGCATCTTTTTTGAGAAGAGAACTCTTAATTGGAGGGGGAGGTATTTGAGGTCCTCATTTTCCATTCCCTCTAAACCTTTGAAGCAAACAACAAATTTTATTCAAATCCCTCTCTCCTTCCTTGTTTTTATATCTGTGTTGTACGAGGATTTGATCCCATGAACTGTAGTTTAAGTCATTTATGCAGAATATCCTTAAAATCTAAGGAAAAAAGATAAAAATGCTATATTTGTATAGATTTCTTGATTGGTAAATTGGAATGAAACTATTGGTGTTTTAAGGAAAAAATTTAAATACTTCAGTAACTGTGTTGATCTTTAACCCAAACCTATATTATGCCAATTACTAAATTGAAAATTTAACTTTGATCAGAGAACACCAAAAGCACTAAGGGATTTCTATCTACGTTTTGTCCTTGGCATTATACTTACTTTATCCGTTAATATTGGGTTTTCGTTAAATTTCCTTTTTAAGTATTTGGTTGAGTTAAATTTTTAAGTATCTCACCTATCCCCATCTTTGTTAGCAGCAGCACTCAGTAGAGCTCAGCGCTGAAACACCGGAGGAGAAGGCTTCAGTATTGGAGAAAGAAATGAGCTTGAAAGGAAGGGAAACTCTTGATGTGTTGAAAGAATTGGCTGGACCGTGAGCAGTATATTGCACTATAAAAATAGTTCAATGAACTGCACTGCACTATAAGCGAACTAAAAAATAGTTCGGTTAATTCAGTCCAGTTTTCCTAAACTGATTTATAGTTAACTATAAATTTTTACAGTGCAGTACACTATAGGACAGTTTGCCCACCCCTACCTATACCTGCCATCTCAGTCTAACGCAACGCATCATCTTCGACGACCAATGAACCGTATTCCGATTTGAATCTGTTTTCCGATGTTGGCCTTCTCCAAGTTCAGGAAAGCAGCGGAGGTCTCATGCGTATTCCGTCGAATCCAAAAGCCTCCCACATACCTCCGAAGATTTTCCCTTTCGTCCGAGGAATCTCCTTCTTCGGACCCGCAGTTTTCCCTTCGTTTATGCATCTTGCTTGCCCTCAAGTTCGATTCCTTATCCACCATCAAATACCGTGCTTTGGTGAGTGCGGTCCTTTGCACCAACAACTGGTTTTCTCTTTACTGGGAGGCCCTTGAATATCTCAAGAAATCCGGAGTCTTGATAACTTCTGATTCGGTTTGTGTTTTGATTTGGGCCTATTGGCGAGTGGGTCTGATCGAGAAGGCTATAGAGTCGTTTGGTAGAATGGGTGAGCTTGGGTGCATGCCCGATGCTCGTGCCTATAACACCATTTTGGATATTGTGTTTCAGAAAGAGTTGTTTGTGTTGGGTTTTGCGGTATATAATCTGATGCTTAAGTCCAACTGTTGTCCTAATGAACGCACTTATGGCCGGCTGATTGGAGGGTTTTGTAGAAGTGATGATGTTAATGGTGCTCTTGAGATGCTCGATGAGATGCGCCAAAGGGATTTAGAGCCGAGTGTGATGACAATTTTAGCTATTTTTTCTGGTCTGTGTCGTGTGGGGAGGGTACATGAGGCACACAGAATGTTTAATGTGATGAGAGAAAGTGGGCGCAAGCCTAATTTTATGTCTTATTGTGTTTTGTTTAATGGGTATTGCAAGATGGGGAGGTTAGATGAAGCTGATTCGATTCTGCAATTGTTAGAGAGAGACAGGTTACCCCTTAATTTAAAGGGCTACAGTCATCTGATTGCTGGCTTTTTTAGGGAAAGGAGATACAATGAAGCGCATTCGTGGTATGGAAGGATGCTAAAGGAGGGTATTGTTCCAGATATTGTTTTGTACACAATTATGATACGGGGTTTGTCGAGTGAGGGCAGGATTGGTGAGGCTGTGGACATGTTTTTTGAGATGACCCAGCGAGGCTTAGTTCCCGATGCTGTTTGTTACAATGAAGTTATTAAAGGTCTCTGTGACGCTGGTCTTTCGGATCAAGCAATAGCTCTCCAACATCAAATTTCTGAGCATGAAGGGTTTCATAACGTTTACACGCATACCATTCTCATATGTGACATGTGTAAGAGAGGAATGATTGCCGAGGCACAAGAAATATTTAATCAGATGGAGAAGGCTGGATGTTTACCTTCAGTTGTAACCTTCAATGCTCTTATACATGGACTGTGCAAGGCTGGTAAACTGGAGGAGGCACAACTCATGTTATACAAGATGGAGATTGGGAGAAGTCCTTCATTATTCTTCCGGCTTACTCAGGGTTCTAATCAGGTTTTAGATGGTGTTAGTCTCAAGAAAAAGGTGGAGCAAATGTGTGAAGCTGGACAGATTTTGGAAGCTTACAAGCTTCTCACACAACTTGCTGATAGTGGGGTTGTGCCTGACATTGTGACGTACAATATTCTGATCTACGGCCTTTGCAGAGCTTCTAAGGTTGATGGTGCGTTAAAGCTTTTCATGGATATGCAGAAAAAGGGTCTATCACCTGACTCTGTTACTTATGGGACATTGATTGATGGGCTTTTCAGGGTTAAAAGAGAAGAAGACGCCCTGAAGATGTATGACCATATGTTAAAGAATGGATGCCAACCTAGCTTTGAAGTTTATAAAGCACTTATGACTTGGTTGTCTAGAAATAGGAAGGTCTCACAGGCTTTCAGTTTTTATTTGGATTTTTTAAAGAACGTTCGTGGCAGGGAAGACAATTCAATCAATGCTTTGGAGGGATATTTTGTCAGAGGAGAAGTAAAACTTGCAATTCAAGGTTTACTAGAACTGGACTTCAGGTTTAGAGATTTTAATTTAGCTCCATATACAATTCTACTTATTGGATTTTGTCAGGCAAAACAATTAGATGAAGCATTGATTATATTTTCTGTTCTCAATAAGTTCAATATCAATATCAATCCTCCAAGCTGTGTGTATTTGATCAAAGGTCTCTGTACAAAAAGAAGGCTGGATGATGCAGTAAACATCTTTCTTTACTCTCTTGACAAAGGTTTTATGTTAAATTCAAGAATTTGTGAGCAGCTCATCAAGTGTTTATTTTGTTCCCCAGACAAAAGGGGTTATGCTATTCATCTTCGTCGTAGGATGGAGTCTGCTGGATACCATTTAAATAATCTGTTAGAGATTAAATAACACTGACCGATCAAGATGAATGAATTGCTTGATTCAGCGCTTTGCACATCCCCATCAAGTAAAGAGAAGATACTATGAATCAGGAGACTCAATATTCTTTCTAATGAGCCAAAGGTGTCCTTTAATTCGTATGTATGTCTTGAATGTTAAATTATGTCTTTCCAGACTTATAAATGTAAAATTCATTGGAATCAATTGAAATATATATCTTTGCATTCTTGCTTCTAGAATTTTACTTTGCACTCGGACTTGAGTTGTCTAACCTCCAGTTTAAAATATAAACACTTCATTTCTCTGAATTTTGTTCATTGTTGAAAGAATTTGAAAAGCGAGTGGGAGAGCTTTTGAGCTTTAGATGTTGTGAAGCTTAGCTGGTATGATATATAGAATTTAGTAAGAGAAAGAAACAAAAAATAGGGCAAAGAGGGGAAAAAAGAAGAATAAAATAGAGGGGATAGAGAGAAGAGGAGACATTTATAATAGAGGGGAAAAAAGACTCTTGTAATAGTTTAGTTTTGGAAATTCATTCTTTGTATAGATAGGAAACATTTATCCTGTGGAGGGGGACCTTAGCTCCCTTGGAGGCTTTGAGTGTACAGATTGGAGGAATAATAACAGATTTACTCAGTTTTACTATCTTTTCTTCTCGTGTGGTGTGTTAGTGAAGCGTCTAGATAGATTTCTTACCAAGAAACCTATTTGTAGTTTGTAGTCTTTTTTATTTATAGGGGAAATGAGGTTTTCATTACATGAGATTACAGAAATTGAAAAGCCCTTTCCTAGATATTTTTAAATTCTTTCCTTCTTTTTAATATAACATTTGAAATGGTTACTTTTCTGGTTTCCGCAAATAGGTTACTGAAAATTTCTGATGAGTACAATAGATGGGTTTTCATCTCAAGTTTTGGTTCTTAGATTTGTCTTATTTTATTTTTACCTGTTTTGGATTTTTATGAATTTTAAAAAACGATATTATGGTTTCTTCAACCCCACAGAATAATAATTTTAAACAGTAGATTGTAAATAGCTGTGAGTATGCTGATATTGAGGTTCTAAACTTAAACTGGCTTATTTTTGGGTAATCTTGTATATTGACGTTCTCTATTTAGGATTAATTAGTACCATATCAAAATTAAAGGAATACATAGATATATGACCATAATTTGATCACAACTTAAAATTCAAACTTGGATATACAGTCCCTGGTAGGATATGTGTAGGGTTGTGAAATCATTTTCTATCAGATTGATTAATGTGTAAAGTGCATTGAAGATGTCGGGACATTATTGATGCCATTGTTCTTGACTATTTCCTTAACTTCTTGCAGTGCTCATGTTGCTGGGGAAATTTCTTTTGCTTTGACATTTGGCGTGCTTGTCACACTTGCTGAGTGATCCTTCGCATCAGACATTTTTGGGTTTCTTGTTTGTTGTATGCTTCATTACATTTCTCCCTCGGTATTTTCAAAAGCTTTTCTGGCTAACCTTAGCATGGAGGAGGGAAAGAAGACTGCCATTGTCCATGTTGTAGACCAGCAGGCAAAGGCGAATTTCTTAAGGACAGTCACTATGTGATTCTGAATGAGAACTTGCTATGAATAAAATTTCATGGGGTTCCAAATGGATTCCAGGTCTTTTTCACATTTTAACTTGAAATGATCAAATTTAGTGATGTTTAGAGAATTACCTGTTTATATATCAAAGGAAGACATTTAGTTTATTACTTAAGAATAACATATCAAAAGCTAGGTTTAGTTTTTTATTTCTAGGTTGCTTATTGTTATGATTTTCTTTGCAAATGAGATGTATGCGCAGACTGATGATTGCTTATGTAACCTCATGTTCTGATGTCGTTTATGTAGTCCGGCAATTACATTACAGCTCAATTCGCATAAGAGCCAGCCACAAAGCATGCACAGATGTCAAATATGTTTTAGGAGCCTACGGAAAATTCCTTTATTAGACTTATATTGTCCTCAATTTAACATGTTTTCTGTTGCAAAAGTTGTTGATCCTTTTTTTGAGTGCAGTTGTATCTTCAATATTGATCAGGTTAGTCAATCTTCTGTCCAATGATGCACACTATCTTTTCATTATTTCCATTTTAATTGATAGAATACATGGACATTTTATGCCTATTGAATAAAGCCTACTGCCTAGCACTTACTAAAACTGTGGTTGGTGATCTTTGTTCTTTCATTTTCTGTAAGACTGATGAAAAGAAAAACATGTAATGAAGACACTTCTACTCAATATTTCAGTTGTCTTTCCCCTTTTCTCCAAATAAATTACAATTCATTAATAATGTCAGTTGTCCTACACAACTATTTACTGCTACCTGCAGTCTATTTATACAGAACCACACCATTTGTATACTGAATTATTGAATAAGGATTTTGCTTCTTGTTTTGCAGCGTCAGTTTAATGGTTTTCAACTCGTGGCTTCATTGCATTATTGTTATCTCTATTTTTTTGTGTGTTTTATTATTACCTTTTAGCCTCATCATGATGTTGAGCTGCAGGAATACAAGACAATACAAGACTTTTCCTGTGATATGAGAAAAACAGTACATAATTGAAAAGAAACAAAAGCTAATTAGGAGAAAGAGAGGTAGAGAAAGGAGAATAGAATTCTCATAAAAAACCCGAAATATAATATCCTCAGAATAATGAAGCTTCTTCGAATAGTTTACATTGGAGTGTATAAAACAGAAAAGGCCGCATCTTTCTTCACCTTTATATTTTTCTTCCTGCACCCTCAAAGCCTTCATAAAATTACACTTTTACACCTTTCTTCTTTCATCATCCTCCACCTCCATTTGCACCACCCTCCTCTCACTCAACCATCTCCATTTGTTTTTTTCCTTCATTTTCACACATCCCATCCACCTCATTCTTTATAATGGGTATTCCTCTTTGGAAATACCTTTAAAACCATTCATTATCAAATATATTTTTATACATTCCAAAATAGGTATTGTAAAGAACTTTTTGGGATTTGAAATATCTTCCCAAACAATTATTCTTACAAATTAAAAATTTATTCTGAAATAGGTGTTTTCAAAGATATTTTCTGCATTCCAAAAGACATTTTCGAATTATAGAAATGTTTTTGAAACACTTATTCTGAAAAATAAAAATATATTTTGAAATGAATATTCTGAAAGATATTTTTAAAATCTAAAATATATTTTGGATTTTATATATTCAGACATCCATTCAAGAATATTAAAGAAAAAGGAGGTATTGGGATAAATTTTACCTTTTTATTATAATTTCCATGAAGAATAATGTGGGATTTATGGGTTTTATGGGGTGCAGTAAGAAAAAGAGAGGGTGCAGAACATTGAACATAAAATTTACTAGGGCTCACGGTCCGCCAAAAAAAGATAGAGTAGGATTGGCGTGTCACAACAAAATGAATTAAAATTTGTAACATTCTGTCAAAGGACAGGTTGGCTCGTCATTGTTTATATTTTTTTTTGAAAATTTATTTATACATATATATATATTAAAAATATATTTAACCATATAAATATTTTTAAAATTTTAATTAATTAATTATTATTTTTAATTAGATAAACCAAATAATTATTATATTTACTTCTTAAATCACTTTTATAATTAACAATTACAACTTAATTTATGAATATTAATCATTTAAGTTAAAATATTCTTACATATTTATATTTTTAAAAGGATATAATATATCTTTTAAATTATTTGTTATTTTAATTTTTAATTTAAAAAAATATGTGCGTGAACCAACTCGTCGTACTCTATTCTTAATCTGCAAATTTGGTAGACTAAATAAATAAAGCTAAAATGGGTTGGTGGGTTTCGAAATCTCTAAAATCTAAATGAATAAGGTTAAAATGAGTTGGTGGGTTGGAAATGTAAACTCTAAAATTAATCTTAGACATCCATTCTATATATTATTCTCACTTCCATATCACATACTTAAAAGAAGTGTAAAAGAGTGGCTTCTAAATTGTGCAGAAGTCGCTTTTGAATTCAGAGGTTTTAACATTATGGGAGTGCAAGACGAAAGCATATTACCCCCTACTCACCCAACGCACCTAACTTCCTTTTCTTCATGTTATTCACAGTAAACCACACATTGTTGCCACAACTGTTTCTTCCTCGACACCTATAATTCTGTTTTCATTTTGTTTATCTTAGATTTTAAGGTTAAATATATTTTTAATTATTATATGTATATATTATATATTTTTTAGCTTGCAATACTTCTACCATAACTTGTTATGGCTTTCAATATATTTTTATAAAGAACTTTTGAAGTTGAATATATCTCCGGTTATGTTGATAACATTATTGTGGAAGCAACATCACACCAACTCTTAAAGTTATTGTAAGAAACGTGCATTGTAATATCTAGAGCTAGACAAAACCAAGAGGTGAATTGGTTTAGTAATTAAAAATTGTGCTTTTTAAAAATTTTCTCTTTTTAAAATTTGATTTCACAATAAAAATTATTCTTTTAAATATTAACAAGAAATAAAGAGTAGAGGAAAAGAGAAGTTTGTACAAAGAATTTTATACTGATTCATATCAAAAGACCATACGACTAGTTGTTAATCTCTTTTAAAGAAGGATTAACCAATTACTAAAAATAACCAATAACTTACAATAACAGAGAACAAGGTTAAGGATAGAAAGCACCTCCTTCAATACACAAAGGATGAACAACACCTCCTTTGACACACAAAGGATGAACAACTTTCCTAACAATAACAACAACACTCAATCACAAGACACACTTACTGAAAGTTTTTGCTCTACCCATACTGAGTTTCTCAAAGCCCTTTTTTCACAAACATGAAAAGTTTCCCTTAGGCACACAACTCTAATACTTTTAGTGAAAAGTTCTTTCACTACAGGAAATGTGCGAAATACCGACAGACATATGTCGACGACCTTTGGTCCGTCGGTATTTGGTAAATACCAAAGGATTTATCGACGACTCATGAAAGTGGTTTTTTCGAAGGTCATCTCCTTCGGTAAGTAGCATGTGCCATTACCGAAGGGCGGGATATGTTGGTAAGCAACAGAGTTTAGTTAAAAAGGGATTTGGGAAAAATTAGTTTTCCCCCTTCATTCAATCCCATTTCGCATTTCTTCTTCTTCTTGCACGTTATCCCAATGTTTCTTGGTTTGCTTGTGTAGAGGCTCTCTTCTTCAGCCAACGTGTCTGTCAGCCACCTTGTTGGTGATTGATTGTGTCCCAATCGCTTGTTCCTGTTAGGTTTTGCTAATGTCATTTTTCCATTATTGTGCAAGGTTTTGCACTACAGGAAATGAGCGAAATACCGACGAACATATGTCGACGGCCTTTGGTTCGTTAGTATTGACCAATTACCGAAGGATTTAGCAACGACTCATGAAAGTGGTTTTTCCGACAGTCAAATCCTTCGGCAAGCAACATGTGTCATTACCGAAGGGCGGGATCCGCTGATAAGCAGCATAGTTTAGTTAAAAAGGGATTTGGGAAAAATCAATTTCCCTCCTTCGTTCAATCCTATTTCCAATTTCTTCTTCTTCTCGCGCGTTGTCCCAACGTTCCTTGGTTGGCTTGTGCAGAGGCCCTCTCCATTAGCTAGCATGACTATCAGCCACTGTGTTGGTGAATCGGCTATGTCACAATCGCCATCGGAGTTCGTCTATCGCAAAGGTAGGCTCAGCGCTTGGTTTCGCGGTTAAACAGTGAGTTTCACCGATTGTCATCGAGGTGTGGGCTTCCACTTGCTGTGACGTGTGCGTTCTTCTTGCAAGGTTGTTGTTCGAGGGTTGGAGGGTTGTTCTTGGAGGGGTCTTGCTCGAGTGTGGTTCGTGCGTGTGTGCGAGGTTGTCTAAAGCATCTTGGTGGAGGTTTTGGGTTATGTTTCTTCCCTTGTCGATGAGGTAAGTAGGTTTCTAATCGAACCTGAATGTGTTGAACTCCTATTCTTGGGTAACAGGGTGTTTTTGATGATTAATATTTGTTCCTGTTAGGTTTTGCTAATGTCATTTTTTCATTAATTTACAAGGTTTTGGGGCTTCGATCAGGGGCTGAGGCGTGTCATTGCTGAAGGGTCCAAGAGTTCATCATTTCTAGGTAGGTAAAGTTCGTTCTCTTGTGTGTGGCTTGCTTCATTTTGGGTTTTAATTGCGTTTGAAATGGGGAAGCTAAAGTTTTGTTAAGATGGAATTGGTTTTTGCAAATGTGTAATGGATACTAGTAACTGGGTGGCTTTGTGAGAGGTATGAAACTCCCTTTAAGGGGAAAACTTGGAGTTTGAAAAGAACAATTTCATTGTGCATAGGAGTTTGAAAACTTCAATGTGATTAAAGTTGATACCATTACTAAATTTTAGTATGTAGTTACTAACTTGATGTTGCATGGTTTAATGACTATTTGCTACGGTGTGGTTACATGATAGAGTGAAGATACTTATATGTATTGTACTGCTTGGTAGTGTACTTAGGTTTAGGTATAAGTGTACATTTTTCTATTAAAGTAAGTATTAATATTACATGTGTAGGTAAAGGGAGCTGATTTTGGTCACTAGTTTATGTGTTTGAATGCTTGATATCCATGAGTGAATGCTCGTGATCATGGTGTTGTGATGCTTATAATTTTTTTGTTGTCTTTAGTGGTTTATTTGTGGAATTATACTAGCTGTGTTGGGCAGACCAGAAGTGGCTTTTGATGAGAAATTTTATGATTATGTGTTGATATTAGTGTATGATATATTTATGTTGTCTTTAGTGTGAAAAGTGGGCAGCTTTGGTAGTTTTTGGATGCTACCACCTTCCTTGCTTCTTAAGTGGATGGGTAGGACCAACTTTTGG